GAGTAGTCGGGGAGTTTCATAAATATGATAAATAAATAAAAGTTCAGTTAATTCAATGGAAAAATCAGAGTAGCTTAAAATTTCCAACAGCAATCATGGTATGGGAAATTGTAAAAAACAGGAGATAATAATACCTTCAATACCACTATATCAATTCCAAAATAAAGAAAAATTCAAACTTCCAGCATCGATACTAGATATATAAACTATAAGCTAAAAACTTACTTTCGCTTGTTGAAAAGATCACAAAACTGAAATCTTTTTTCCCCTAGATCTCAACAACAGGAGGAATGCTGCAAAATAATCAAACTCCAGGAAGGAATAACCTTACCATGGAAATTGGCCATTATGATGAATCATTTCAATTTTTAGATTTGACATATTAACTAGGTTGAATGCTTCTACAGAAACCCAAAGGACAACAAGAGGAAAATGAGATGCACAAAAACCCACATGTGAGCGCGCACAATTTCTCTCTTTAAGTTAAAATATTCTTCCAACAAAAATAAGAGTTGCTTTATCCAAAAAGCCTTGCTGCGGAGCATGTTCAAAGTCCATTCATTATGGAGACTGTACTTGAATATTCTGAACACATTCTAGCACTGCGGCACCCATGTGGGGCCCAAATACTTCTGATACGTAATGCCAGAAATGAAAATCTAAATTATTGTAACATATCAAAAAATGAAAACTGTGAAGTCCAAATGGTCATTCCATAGATAAGAAGAGCTTGTTTTCCCAAAGCTCCTTATGATTATTGGTCCATTCAGATAAATACTTCATGGACTCAAGGTTACATCTTCCCAGTTCTTCAACTAAAATGGTTAATTTTATGAGAAAAACCAGAACTGAGATACAATCAAAATCAAATACAGTACTTCTAAAATAGATCTCTTCTCCTAGTTCTCTATCCTCCATCAAAACAAGTTGTTTCCTGCTTCCTCATGATGCTTAAGGAAATCATCACAAACTCGTTTTGTAAAAGATGATTCCCAAATTCTATTAATATTTGGTGGGAAAGGATTAGGTTACCAGGGAATACCTTTTCCATTAGTTGTTTGACATTGCAACGGAGATTTGAGTTCTTGGATCACCTTTCACATTTATGTAGCAGGTAATCCTTAGCTTTTACCACCAGCAGCTAATCCTCCACATATCATTTAGATATCTCACTGAAAGTTCAATTCGAGTAGAAGATTATACGAAATGGATGCTCAAACTTGGTGTGCAGAGTAGGAATCATTTCAATTGAAATCAAAATGCATAATTGCATATATAACATGCCCATGGATGATATAATATTTAATGAGGTGCAGCATCAAATTGAATGAAAGCTATTGTAATACAAATATGGTAAATGCCACTGATGCACTATGTGGTTTCAAAACTTTCCATGAAGGCTAACTGCTAACAGTATCAGCCGAATTTAGCAATCTGAATAATCTGATTCATATTCTGAAAGCAGATTACAATCTGAATCATCTGATTCTCCATTTTTGAACCCATTGTCATTGAGTTCATTAATACAAACATCCTTAATCAATCCTCCTCAACAACAGAATCTCCGTTTCTTTTGCATAAGCCCCTGCTCCTATCCAGCAACCCTTCCTTCATCATACTTGCAAACTTTTCCCTGTTGTCAACAAGGGGGTATTTCTGGTTTAGTTTATGACAGTTTGCGTGTAACGCTTCTTAGAAATGTAGAATATGCCAGGATGGCGTTCAATCACCTTTGTGAACGTCTGTGGCAAAGCCAGCCCAGGATAGGAGTTTCAAGCCAACATGATCAGGTAGGTGAACCAAAGAAAAACAATCTGAGTGATGGGGAATCAAGGAATGAGGGTAATCAAATGGCAAACCAATGACCCAATTTAGCTGGTCAATTGTTTGTAGAGGAAGAGTCCCATCTTTGGTGAGCATGAGCAGCTTGCGAAGATCCATCTCACAATCAAGAACATGAAATTCATCGATTAGGATTCATGTGGAACCAAATACCGAGTTCTTCTTGATGGGGATCTAGTGCTTTAGGAGTCAATTGGAACCAGGGAACACTAGTGCCTCCACTGTCAAGAACATGAAATTCATCAAAATTTGTAGGATATCTCCTCATAAAGGTGGAAACCTGAAGATCTTTGGTGGGAGAGGTGGTAAACTAGGAGACAACAACGAGGATTTGAGGATATTATGGAAACAAGGATGCTGGCAGCACTTAGATCCCTATCACCTGCCAGAATGGCATCCAATTCCCTATCTTTCACCCCATTTTAACATAAGATTAAATCTAGAAGAGCAAGAACTGAATGGCTTTCTGCTGGCAATTGAATCCCATATCACATCAATACAGAAAATGAGAGCATCCTGCCCTACTCCACAACCACCAAACCGTTTTAGATGATGATCAACATACCCCTGTTAGATGACAAAAATTGGTTTGGAAGTGAGATACCACTTCAATGTACTCTAATATTTAAAGTTAGGAAAGTCAAGATTGCAATGGATATAGCAGGAGAACATTAAGCATGCAGATTATGTTAGGATCCACTTATAAATTATATTCAAATGATCAACCTACAACTTTGCAAAGATTTCCAACTGTATTTAAGGATAAAACAGATCGCATCTATTTTTCTAGAATTTCTTTTCCACTTTATATTAAGTTCCATGGTGCTTGGCTGTGTATCAACCGAACAAGTACTCACTGAAGTATGTATGAAATGTGTATATACAACAAACCTTCCACATTGGTCTACAAAAATGCAATAAATTCGTCTTTTTCTGTTTATGATGGATTTTACATCTTCATCATGCAATAAATTTCCTCTACATGAAAATTAAAAATATTACTCTGGACCATAGCGCACTAGTAAAAACTCACAAGAGGGCATAGTAATCAAAATTGCAATCTAGATCACACAATCTTGCAATCCAAAGTATGCTACTATTGATCATTCCAACAGTGCTGCACAATGGGATTACCATAATTGTTAGATGAGAGGATAATCCATGCTAGTTGTTTGATGTTCCATAGTTTTGAATGCAAGTAGCATATGTCTCTAACCTTGTGGTGTGTTTGGCTTGTGAGCTTAAAGAAAGGATTAATGACTTGCTAGATATGTTGTGCTTTTCACATGCTATTTAGACAAGACAATGCATGCTTAAATTGGTCACCCTTGCTAATTGAATCAACCAAGCACACACACACAAATATTGCAACACACTTTACCCTCATTAGTGACAGCTAATAATTTCTGTAATTTAATTCACTTGTAAATAAAAAGAGTGGCAGTTTCAACATCAAATGCAAATAATTATGTTGCTACTATTGGATCCGATCACTACTATGCTCTGGTTTTAGATGCTTCCCTTATCAACAAGAAGCCTAGCAAAATGCGAAGTCATTATTGTCATGGAAGCTTGGGATAACAAATTTCATGATTATAATCTATTTTAGTTCTCCAAAAAATGTCTAGAGTTGGAAGCATAAATTGATCAAGTGGGCTAGAAATCAGAGTTGGAACTCCAGACAGAAAATATAGGCAATGGAAGTTCAGCTTTTCTCTTTGAAAGAGGATACAACGCACCAATTGTGATGCTACCAAAATGAAACAACTTGAAAATGAGCTTCATAATTAATGGAGTGAAGAAGAAGTTTATTGGAAGCAAAAATCCAGACTTCAGTTGTTGCAGCTCAGAGACAGAAATTCAAAAAATAAAAAATAAAAATCATGCAACTAGTAATATTAGAAGAAGGAGAAGAATACTCATATGCCACACAAATATTGTTCTTATTCCTAAAAGTAGAATATCCAACTTTAGTTGGCTATTATTGCCTTATTTCTTTGCGTAATGTGTCTTATAAGATCATTTCAAATTATCAATAGGCTCCAATCAGTCCTTATCTCTATTATTAGAGAAGATGAAAGTGCCTTTGTTGCTGGAAGGCAAATAACTAATAGTATCTCTAGTTGCCCTGAACTGCTCCATTTTATGAAGAACAAAAGATTGAGTAAACAAGCTTTTATGGCCCTTAAACTTGATCTTAGAAACTAGGTTTCCCACTGTATGTGTCAGTATGCCTTGAGGTCCAAGGACTTCAGAGTTTTAGAATCCTCTTTTCCAGGTAGTGCCTTGAGGTCGAAGTGTTTAGACAAGACTAGATTTGTGTAAAAGAATGTTTTACCATGAAAGTTGAAACAAAGGAAATATTTACAATCTGTGTTCAGTTAATTTGGGACAATTAATCATCTTAAAAAGCAAAACTACAAAAAGACCAAGGTGCCTTTTAATGTAGGTCTGATCGATTCATTAACAGCCTCAATATGAAGTATGAACAGTAACAGGATGCATGCACAAAGAGGGGTTGAGGGGATCCAGACCTGGTTTACTGGAATGCTGAATCCAACAGAATAAACCTGCTTGTACCTTCACTATAGCAGTCATCCATGATAATGGTCATATGTTTAGCCTTTCCCAATGGTCATACCCTTCCAATCTTGAAAGCTGTTTTCAATTCAACCATGTCCTCTTCCAGAAGCTGCCAATCGGACTTTATCTTCTCAGCCCCATATTACTTTTTCTCAGCCACGAGTTTCTGAATTAGTTCAGCAAACTCTTCTCTCTCCAAATGATCACGTCTCCATGCCAACATTACAAAAGTGTCAAGCTAAGTGTATAACGGCCAAATAGCCCTGCATAAAGGAGAGATCAAACTGTTCGTTAGATGTGAAGATCTTTTCTACGTATAAAATAAGGAAGAAAAAGGAAAAACTCATAGAGAATGATTGGACCATATGGCAGGCAACGTTAGCATCCAACCTCTCCCTTATGGCCATTGGCCTTATTATCCCTTGGCAAAGCCAGCCCCTGTTCAATAGGTGAGACTCACTTGATTGATGGTCTTTAAAGCAGAATCATCCACTGTGACCATGCACTTAGGAAGGATAAACCTTGGTGCCAAGGTTAAGCAGAGACCTGTTATCCAGAAATTGTCACAATCTGGATTTTTATTTTTTATTTTTTCTATTTTTTTTCTTCAGTAACTACATTTTTCCTAAATTTGAAGGATATTTGGGAGTAGTCTGGGAGTTTCATAAATATGACAAAAAAATAAAAGTTCAGTTAATTCAATAGAAAAGTCAGAGCAATTTAAAATTTCCAACAGCAATCATGGTATGGGAAATTGTACAAACAGGAGATAATAATACTTTCAATACCACTACATCAATTCCAAAATAAAGAAAAATTGAAACTTCCAGCATCAATACTAGATATCTAAACTATACGCTAAAAACTTGTTTTCTTGTTGAAAAGATCACAAAACTTGATCTCTTTCCCCTTGATCTCAACAACAGGAGGAATGCTGCAAAATAATCAAATTCCAGGAAAGGAATAACCTTGCCATGGAAATTGGCCATTATGATGAATCATTTCAATTTGTGCATTTGACATATTAACTAGGCTGAATGCTTCTACAGAAACCAAAAGGACAACAAGAGGGAAAAAAAGATGTACAAACAAGCTTAGGGAAAAAAAAGATGCACAAACACCCACTTGTGCGCGCACACAATTTCTCTCTTAAGTTTAAATATTCTTTCAACAAAAATGAGAGCTGCTTTATCCAAAAAACCTTGGTGCAGAGCATGTTCAAAGTCCATTCACTATGTAGACTGTGGTTGAATATTCTGAATACAATCTAGCACAGCTGCACTCATGTGGGGCCCAAATACTTCTGATACATAATGCCAGAAATGAAAAACTAAATTCTTGTAACACATTAAAAAATGAAAACCGTGAAGTCCAAATGGTCATTCCATATATAAGAATCACTATAAATTTAATCCCAGCTTGTTTTCCCAAAGCTCCTTAAGATTATTGGTCCATTTAGATATCCTTCATGGACTCACGGTAACATCTTCCGGTTGATCTATAGATTCAGTTCTTCAACTAAAATGGTTAACTTTATGAGAAAAACCAGATCTGAGATACAATCAAAATCAGATGCAGTACTTCTAAAATAAATCTCTTCTCCTAGTTCTCTCTCCTCCATCAAAACAAGTTGTTTCCTGCTTCCTCATGATGCTAAAGACAATCATCACAAACTCATCTTGTAAAAGATTACTCCCAAATTCTATTAATATTTGGCGGGATAGGATTAGGTTACCAGGGAATACCTTTTCCATTAGTTGTCTCACATTGCAGCAGAGATTTGAGCTAACTGCTAAAAGCATCTGCTGAATTTAGCAAGGATCATCTATGGTTTCATCTGATTCATATTCTTGAAGAAATTACAAACTGAATCATCTGATTCTCCTTCATTTTTTAATCCATTGTCACTGAGTTCATTACTACAAACATTCCTAAATCGATCCTCCTCAACAACAGCATCTCTGTTTCTCTTGTATAAGCCCCTGCTCCTATCCAGAAACCCTTCCTTCATCATACTTTCAAACTTTTCCCTGTTGTCAACAAGGGGGTGTCTCTGGATTAGTTGATTACGGTCGTAAGCTTCCCTAAGAACAACAGTTTGGGTGTCACACTTCTTAGAAATGTAGAATATGCCAGGATGGCGTTCGAACACCTTCGTGAACTTCTGTGGCAAGGCCAGTGGTTTACGGAGATTGCTCACATTCTTGCGCTCTGTTTTCTTTTGTATGGTGAGGTGGAGAAGCTCATGAAAGACACCAACAATTCTCTTCTCAGGTACATCTGTACGTGGATCTAAGTGAGAGGCATCTGAATAAGGAGAAGTATAAGGGAGCCTCTGCCACTCTTCTAACCACTCCATGCATTTTCTCTTCAATCCGAAACCCCTTGTGAATCCAATTGGAAATGCTAAGCTGCCATTTTCAACATCTTTTTCCCTTTGCTGCAAAGCAGCACTCTTTTCCAATTGAGACACAGCAAGGTTAACATCCCAGGATAGGAGTTTCAAGCCAAAACGATTATCAGGTAGGTGAATCAAAGAAAATATATCTGGGTGATGGGGAATCAATGAATAAGGGTAATCAAATGGCAAACCAATGTCCCATTTTAGCTGGTCAATCGTTTGTAGAGGAAGAATCCTATCTTTGGTGAGCATGAGCAGCTTGCGGAGCCTGTCAAGAAGATCCATCTCACAATTTTGGTAGATACCGAGTTCTTCTTGATGGAGATCTAGTGCTTTAGGAGTTAAGCGGAACCAGGGAACTCTAGTACCTCCACTGTCACGAACATGAAACTCATCGAAAATAGTGGGATATCTCCTCATAAAAGTGGAAATCTTAAGATCGTGGGGGAGACTGAGTTGCCCTCTTTGGTGGGAGAGGTGGTAAACTGGGAGGCAACAATGAGGATTCGCAGATATTATGGAAACAAGAATGCTGGCAGCTCTTAGATCCCTGTCACCTGCCACAACAGCATCCAATACCCTATCTTTCACCCATTTTAACTTTACATTCACCAGATTGGCTTTCTGCTGGCGATTAAATCCCAGCTCACATCCATAGAGCAAACGAGAGCATCCTGTCCTACTCCACAACCACCGAACCATTTTAGATCGACGATGATCAACATAACCCTGTTACATGACGAAAATTGTTCTGGAAGTAAGATACCACTTCAATGTACTCCAATATTTAAAATTCAGGAATGTCAGATAGCAATGTATATAGCAAGGAAGAATTAAGCAAATAAATTATGTTATAAATTGTAATGAAATGATCAACCTACAAATTATGTTATAAAAGCAAACAAATCTGAAAGCAAAAGTCGTAAATTAACTCAATAATACAAACCCGGAGGGTGTATTTCTCAAGCCCATTCGAAAATCAAATTATGAATATCTTTTCAAGGACAAACATTCATTTTGATTATAAACATAAATACTCAATAATCAACCAAATTATAAAGACATGGTGTAAAGTCAAAATCTCCAATTAGATAGAAAGCTCTAAACATAAAGACAATGGTATAACCCAGAAATGCACCGAGGAGAATCACACAAACGTCTTTTGTTGACATCAGAGACCCATTGAATTAATAAAGGGTGTATCAAAAAGATAAAAGCAAACAAATTTGCAAAGGTTGGTTCTTGAACTTCAAGGGAACAGAGTAGAGTTCAAAAAAAAAGGAGACACACATTCAATTTTGGAGTAAAACCACGTTTCCAAATCATTATGAACAAAACTAAAATTTGTCTAAACAATCACACGATGGAGAACAAAAATTGAGCCCGTAAATGAATAAATGAAACCCACATAAAAAAACATAAAAAAAAAAACTTGGAAATCGAGCACGATTTGCTTCTCAGAAACATTTGGAAACATATGTAACTCTCAAAATTGAAGCTGTCAATGTGAATAATCAACCAAAATAAATAAATAAATAAAAACTTCAGCCAAACAAACAAAATCAACAATATAATCGAAATCGACGCCCTGACCTTTCTGCTGTGTCAATCGATGCCTTCGATGGTGAGGGAGGACGGTTCGAAGCCAGAGGGAGAGGGAGAGAGAGAAAGCGAGGCAGGAGTATACTGGGTTGGGCTTTGAAGTTTTGTTGGGCTGGGCTTTGAAGTTCGAGGTTTGACCAAACCAGGTTTGGTTAACCATGCTGCTATTCTTTACCACACAGCTTATACTTGTCACCAATCAACACCCTACGAGGCTACGACCCTTCTCACCGAACAATATAATTTTTTTATGAAAAACTCTTAAATTAACTTTTTAAACTTGCCATTATATTTTTACAACTTGTAACACTTTGTTTATCAAATATGTTTTTGTGTTTTTGTTTTTAAAAATTTTACATTAAATAGATATTATCAAACAATCTTTTAATTACTAATCAAAAACTTTACAACAAAATATTTATTTTGCTTTGAATTAAAATAAAAAATAAAAACAAAACAAAACCCTTATCAAATATGTCCTAAGCTTTCATTTTGGCAATGTTGTTGCCCTGATCAAAAAGGTAACATGTGGACTCAACGGTGCTACTTTGTGAATTAATCAGAATAAAGTCCGAAATACCCCAATTACCCGAGAAAAAGAAGAAGTGAAAGCCCAGAAAAACTCCACAATTACATTGAAGGCCTCATCCATTTAACCTTGCTTTTTGTGAAGGGAGTCAAACTCACATTGGAATCTTTCAAAATATTAATTAATCAATTAAGGCCAAAACCATGCTTTTGTTAGAGATAAAAGGAGCAAAACGCAATAAATCAAAAGGTCAAAAGGGTAAAAAGGGTAAACCCACATGCGGCTGACAGAAACCTTACACAATTCCGAATATGTACTAAACAAAGTGAGTGAGTGGTTGTACTGTGTGAAAGGCAGCATCTGCTGATATAGGCTGGACCAATGGCATCACACTGTGTCAATTAGGAGAAGGGATTTGATTATACTTTAACATAATATCATTGGTCTACTCAACTGAATCTGTAGTGCCATCCACACTGGATTGTGGCATACTTTAATACTAAATATCACTCATTATTTTATGGTGATATTTAAGCTCAGGACTAATTTTCGGCAAGTTATTTTACATATCCATCCCGATAGACTCCACGTAAACCTTTATCAAATATCGATAAAATAAAAATAAAATAATATTTTATTTGAAAAAAAAAAATATTTTTAAAAAATAATATTTTACTTCAAAACAAACGGAGCCTAAATGTCACTAATTATTTTATGGGAATGTTGAAATTTTGTAAAGTGGGACCAACATTATGATATTTGTTGAATAAAATTAAATAAAAAATCATGGGCAATTAAGACATTTGAGACCTCAAAATGTGTCAATGTAAACTAGTGCATTGACTGTCTATTGAGTGGCATTGACCCAAATATCAAGGGGTGTCAGTGCAATTTACCAAAAAAAAAATATTTCTATCACTATAGCCAATATTAATCCAAAAAAAAAAAAAAAAATTTATTATTAGTATTAGCCCACCCCATTGACAATTCCTGAATTCGCCAAAACAAACAATTCACCTAGTGGTATAACCTTTCCGTCTTGAAAAAAGCAAAGAAGGAATTCAGGTTTGTGCGTGAGTAAAAGGGTGTTTTTGTTTTACCTAAAGGTGACAAATTACAACACGACCACGACATAAATTAAAAGGGTCTGGGTTTGGGTTTGGCATAAACGAGTTTTGGTCATTAAAGGGTCGACACGATTAACCTATTTACTTAACCGTGTTGGGTTAGGGTTAAAGGGTTAAACCCGTGTAACCCGTTTATGACCCATTTAACTAAACATGTTATAATCGTGAATATGACTTATATAATATGTTACATGTTTAAACTCAATTGTTATAGATAGTTAAGTCATTTTAACATAAATCTTGTTTATGGCTTATAATTTTTTTTTTTTTTTTTTGAATATTTGGGTTAATTATGACAATTTTTTCTATTATTTAGTATTTGATTAAATATTATATGTCTCGTTTTGATAAACAGGTTAAAACATTTACCTGTTTAATAAACGGGTTGGGTTAGTATTTAAGATTCATGACACGATTATTAAATGGGTTGGATTTGGATTTACCAATTTAATATAATACCCTTATATCGACATGACCCACAAACACAAGTTGCCACCCCTAGCTTTATCATTTGAAAAAAAAAAAAAGAAAAAAAAAAAGAGCTTTTGCCGTTGGTACATGTTTTATTTTTTATGCTTTTCTTTTTGTCAGATACTATAATAGTAAACAGTGCAAAAATTGTATTTGGTAAAAAATGTTTTAGTTTGCAGACTGCTAAAACGTTTCATGAATTGACCAAAAGTCAAAACACCAATTTAATGTTTTTACATGTTTCCTTAATGTAATAACTCATAGCAATGAACAGTATATTTTTTTTGAAAACCTCTTATCTCACCTTGTTTACTAAATATGTTTTTGCTTTCAAAATTTTTAATTACGAAACGTGTTTTTAATTACTAATCAAAATACTTTACAATAAAATATTTATTTTGCTTTGAATTAATAAAAATAAAAAAACAAAACCCTTACCAAACATGTCCTAAGTTTTCACTTTGGCAATGTTGTTGCCCTGATTAAAAACGGTAACATGTGATAGGCATCGTGGACTAAACGGTGCTGCATTCCTAGTACTAGTGTGCTTGAACCAAACCAAGCACTTGTTCCATGTCAGAATAGTTTGATATATATAATAATATGCTTCGATCTCAATGATTAAAGTCCACATGAAGACCCTGTACCCTAAACTCCTATATAGAGTACATATTAGATGTGAGCGCATGTCGCTTGGTCGAGAGTTCGAATTATTTTAAGGTCATTTCTAAAACTTTTTTCCTAAGAATTTTCTTACTTATAACTATAGGTATGAAATATGAATGTATTCAACTCATTTGATTTGAAAAAACAAAAAATTCTCAATTTTAACTTTATTTTGAGAAACAAAAAAACTTAAAAATATATATATATATAAAATCTAGTCCTTCCTTTCATATAACTTTACTTGTTTCACTTCTTATTATCGAGATAATTTTAAATACCTTTCATTATTCTTACCAAAAATTGCGATGCATTACCTTTTGATTTAAATTTTATTTTAACAAAACTATATATATATTTTAGTTTTTTGTATTTTTTTTTATAAATGAAACTTTTTTTATGAATGAAACCAAGGGCAAGCCTGGAAGGTCAAACCGAAGGGATTGACTTAGTTAAAAAAAAATTTGAACTCAAGTGTATCACTTACCATTAAGTTTTGGTTTGGATTCCCAAGTGTAAATAATTTATTAAAACTCACACATTTAGATGTATAATTCCAATTTTACCCGTGTGGACCTTACACATTGAGGGTCTCATCCATTGAATCTTTATTTTCTGTGAAGAGTCAAAACTGGCATGGGAATCTTTCAAACTACAGAATTAATTAATCAATCAAGGCCAAAACCAATGCTTTTGTTAAAGATAAAAGGGCCAAAACGCAATAAATCAAAAGGTCAAAAGGTCAAAAGCCACGTTATGCGGCTGACAGAAACCGTACACAAGTCCGAATATATACTAAACAAAGTGAGTGGTTGTAAGGTGTGAAAGGCACCACCTGCTGATGTAGGCTGGACCAATGGCATCACACCATGTCATCTAGGAGAGGGATTTGCTTGTGGGTTAACATAATATCATTTGGTGTACTTAGCTGAATCTGTAGTGCCATCCACACTGGATTGTGGTATGCTTTAATTACTAAATGTCAGCCATTATTTTATGGGAATGTTGAAATTTTTGTTAAGTGGGACCAACTGTTACTTGTTAGTGATAAATTTGGATGTAGCAATTGGTGCATGAGTTGACTCCACGGATTTTTCTTTTTTTTTTTTTTTTTTTCTTTTTATATATATATTTTTTCTAAGGAGATTAGAAAATTTTGCCATCTTGAAGTTTTTCCTGTTAAAAAAAAAAATTCCTACATATTTGTGGTTTGCGAATTTATTAAATAAAAATAAATGGCCTATTTGATTTGTAATTTTAAAAACAATTCTCAAAAATTTTAAAATAAAAAAATATTTTTTTAGAATTACAAAAAACAGTTCTCTAAAAATTATAGACATTTTAGACATTTTTATTTGTGTTTTCATAAAACAAATTAAAAAAAATTGAACTAAATACAATTTTCAAATTTTTATTTTTTTATTTTTTTTCACCAAAACCTTACCCACCTAAATTCCAACTTTTCGAAACCCAATAGTCAAACCACTTTAATGATGGTCCATAAAAATGGTCCCCTAACGAGGCTGTCTTTAATTCCTTTGTTTTCCTATTCTTTCCCCTCTATTTTTCTCACTAAAAAGTAGGTCTAAAACTTTATCAGTGTCAAATTGCCAATATCTGCTAAGCAAAATAATCACACCACATTTGAATTTGGGAATTGAAAAAAAAAAAAAAAAAAGAAAAGAAAAGAAAGAGAAGCAAATGAGTTATTATGTATTCATTTTCTATTTTTAATGTATTTATTATTTCCTTTTTTTAGCAAGTATTTCTTTTATGTTATAATTTTTAAAATCACAGAGTTAATCCACTTCTTTTATTCATAAAGGTACTTGAAAATTTGGAATAAGAAAAACTACATTCATATCACAAATCAAAAAATAGATTTTTTTTACTAACGAGTCTATATCTTTTACTACGATTGGACATTCTGAATTCGATTCTTATTATTATTATTTTTTTATTTATTTGAATTCGATTCTTACAAAATTTCTAAAAAATAAATGAATATTAATGATATGTGAGTTGTAAATAATTGCACAAATCAAGGAAATAATAATAACATAAAATAATATGATAACTTAATATTTTATTGGTCATTTTCGTCCACCTCACTCCTTATAGTTGAGAGTCCAACGCTGGAAAGAAGAATGCTGCGATCCTTCTTTTGGTTATCTCCCCTTGTAAACCTAATAAAATTAACACACACACTATACCATGCACACAGAAAATATTTGTACGCTTATAATTGTTGCTGTCATCTGACTACCCAACAGCTGAAACAAAAGCTACAAATAATATAGTTTA